ATCGGGATCACGGTGAGAAGAGGCGGAGGAGATGGATGTGGAGGGTGGGTGGACGAAGAAGCGCACGAACAATGGCGGGCGAAGACGACTCACACTCTCTCTCTCTCTCTCTCTCTCTCTCTCTCTCTCTCTCTCTCTCTCTCTCTCTCTCTCTCTCAATCAATCGAGCAATCGATCAATGAATCAACCAACTAACCAACCAATCGATTGATTGATCGATTGATTGATTGATTGATTGATTGATTGAATGATGGATTGATTGATTGATGGATGGATGGATGGATAGATTTATTAATCAATCAACCCATCAATCAACCAATTGAGGAGCCCTTGATTCGCTGCCCATCAATGGGGGGGGGGCAGAGGRGGGGRGGGGGGGAAGAGGGGTAGCCGATGTGGCAGCATCGTTGGTCTGCGAAGAAGAAGAACAACAAATCAAAAAAAAAAAAAAAATGGCAGTTGCGTGCATTACTACACGAGGGAGGCGGAGAAAAAAAAAAAAAAAAAGGAAGACGAAGAAAAACGAAAAAAAAACATGTGGCGGTTTGCCACGTGGCAATTTCCCACGTGACAGTTGCGCGCATTACAACAGGAGGAAGAAGCATTACAACAGGAGGAAGAAAAACAACAAAAAAAACTTGTGGCGGTTTGCCACGTGGCAATTTCCCACGTGACAGTTGCGCCCATTACAACAGGAGGAAGAAGAAAGAGGAAAAAAATAAAATAAATAAATAAAATACAACCGTTGCCACGTGGCAACCGCGACGAGGAGCGGGAAAAGATTGATTGGTTGCGCGATGAAAAAAAAAAAAAAAAAAAAAAAACTCGCCATAAGAGGAAGAGGAAGAAGAAAAGGAAGAAGAAAAGAGAAAGAAAAAGAGGAAAAAACGAAGAAGAAGAGGAAAAAGAAGAAGAAGAAGGGGAAGAAGAAGAAGAGGAAAAAAAAGAATAGTGGAAACAGGGGCCAATTGCCTCTCATACACACTCGTATCAATCCCAGCTTAGGCGCACATTCCCCGACGTGTTTCGATCGGTTGCGCTCCGATCATCCTCAGGGGGCTTTCCTCATGACCGTGCCTTGCGACCTACCGACAGAAGAACAACAACAACAACAACAAAATATTAAAAAGAAGAAGAAGATGAAGAAAATGGAGAGAAATAAAAATAAGAAGGGAAGAATAAGAAGGGAAGAATAAGAAGGGAAGAATAAGAAGGGAAGAAGAAGAAGAGGAATGAGAAGGGAAGATAAAAAAGAATAAGAAGGGCGAAGGAGGGGAGGGAGGGGAAGAGGGGTAGCCGATGTGGCAGCATCGTTGGTCCGCGAAGAAGAAGAACAACAAATCAAAAAGAAAAAAAAAAATGGCATTTGCGTGCATTACTACACGAGGGAGACGGAGAAAAAAAAAAAAAAAAAAAACGAAGAAAAACAAAAAAAAAACATGTGGCGGTTCACCACGTGGCAAGTTCCCACGTGACAGTTGCGCGCATTACAACAGGAGGAATAAGCATTATAACAGGAG